TAGGCAGAGGAGTGTTTCATCTCAAGTCTGACCTATCATCTTGAAAGATGGATAAGATTAAGGTAAGCAGAGAGGAGAGGATTCTAGGAAGAGGGCCCAGCACAAGCAAGGAGATGGAGGGCAAATGTGCCTGGGTGTCTGGAGAACCGTGGACAGTATATGACCTAAAGGAAGCAATTTGGTAGAGAAGAATTGTTATGGCAGTGACTTGTAAAAATGAAAATCTTAAAATATGGCATGATTCCACATGCCAGAGATCAACAGCCGTGCATATAAACAGTATTTCTTCATTAAACACGTGCTTTTGAATGCTTACTGTGTTTGCAGTGCTATGCCAAGTGTGGGCATAATTCATGAAACCTCAAGACAAACTAAGGCTTCATCTTTGATGACAGCAACGGTCAATTTGACTTTCCAATTTACTGTGTCAACTTGTAGTTCAGTTGAGTGATTTCTTTAAACGGCCCCAGTACGAAACTCTTCAAACGCATACTTTGAATAAGGAAGCAAGTTTTTTATTAAGGGACCCCAAAAAAGCACATAAAAAGTCATCTAATTTTGGAGGCGCCTGGGTGGCTCAGTTGTTAAGCGTCTGCCTTCAGCTCAGGTCATGATCCCAGGATCCTGGGATCGAGCCCCACATCGGGCTTTCTGCTCAGCCGGAAGCCTGCTTCTTCCTCTTCCTCTCCCAGTCCCCCTGCTTGTGTTCTCTCTCTCACTGTGTCTCTCTCTGTCAAATAAATAAATAAAATCTTTAAAAAAAAAAAAAGTCATCTAATTTTATAAACATGCAAGTACTGAATGTATGGAATTACCATATCTAATGCCATCTGAGGGTTTTGAGAGAAAATCTGTCATTGCACTAAAGCTTCCCTAAAGTTCTCCTTCCAGTAAAGAAAACCAGGAATGAAACGCAGTCCTCCAAAAAGAGATTTTAAGAAATTCCGGACTTCAATTCTCAATTTGGAGGTTTATTACATTTCTTATATGCTCCTTCATCTTTCTATAATTACCATCTGTTTTATTCAGTTCTGATGACTGCCCACTTCTACTGCCAATCTAAGTAATATTTACCTTAGCTTTAGTCAATATTTGCCATTTTTAGTAAATGTTATGCCATTATACTGCTTAAACATTTATTCAGCAGTTAAAATTGAGTCTTTACCTCATTTAGTATTTATCTTTGAACAGACCAGGTCCAGCACAGATAAGCACAGCAGAATTCAGAACTTATATTTAGTTGGCTTGAGCAAAAGTCATTCAATACTTGGCAGTGTATGGGACCAAAGCGTTGCACAAAGAGGAACCAGCCTGTACAAGAGCCAGGAAGCCTGTTTATTAGTGACCCCACCAACTCCAACCCTTGTTGGAAGAAACTAGTCAACCTTAAATAAAAATTGCAGCTCAATTTTAATTAATCTTGATGCACGTGCCAAGTATGTAAGTACACCCACAGTAATCTAATACCTTGAATGATTCTTCATATCCTACATTGCTTTTTCAGCAGGTGAAATTCTGAAAATCCAGAACTCTTCCTCCCGTAGCCACGGTGAGTCAGCTTCTGTGTGGCCAAAGCAAGTTCAGAGAAGGTGGGTAAGGAGAGGTAAGACTTAAGCCTTGACACCAGTAAGTTCTTCGGCTCCCACCAAGAAAGAAGGGAGGAGGAAGACCTTCTAGTGACTAGCCTGTGGATGTGGAACCCGATCTCACTCATCCTGTAAATATTTATGGAGCATCTACTATGTGCTACTGTGTGCCAGGCACTATGCCAGGGGCTGAGGCTGTTGAACAAAACAGACTAGATTTCTGCTGATTGCCTTGGGGAAAGACAAAAAATAGGCAAGTAAGTAAGACAAAATTCACATGTTAAGCATCATAAGAAATTTTAAGTAGGATAATTTGATAGAGAGTAGACTGCTGTCTCCTCTGCATTAACCATCAAAGAAGACCCCTCTAAGGTGGTGACAGCTAAGTCTGAAAGTTTAGGAGGATCTAGCCATTGGAAAATCAGGGAGAAGAGTATGCCCAGTGGAGGACACAGTTAAGCAAAGGCCCTGAGGCAGCTTCTGGAAATAAAAAGAAAGTCAACTTTCCCCCCCAAATGTTCATGATGATCATGTATTATTTAATAATAAGAAAAAAATGCTATTTTGGGAAAATAGTTCATATCCTTTAACATTTGCAGGTATCAATCTTAGTAGAATTCTGTATGAAGAACAAAATTTTAGGCATACTGATATTCAGAGCAGCATCATTAATAATAGTGAAAAAATAAAAAAATAGAAACAACCTAAATGTTCAACATTAGCTGAGTGGTTACAGAAATTGAACCTATCCATTGTTGAGGATTACACGGTCATCGAAGTTCTCAAGAATTTTGAGACAACGCTAAATGAAAACAGAATACGAAATTGATGCTCTCAGCTATATAGAAATTTAAAAATAGGGAAAAAGAAAATATAAAATGTTTAAAATAATTGTGTTTGGGGGTAGAATTATTTTCCTGTCTATTCTGAATTTTCCACATTTCCTTTAATAAAGATGAATTGCTTGTATGATTAAAAACAACAACAACAACAACTTGAGACTTTAGTTTTTTCTCTCCTCTCCACTTTGGCAACCTTAAAATGTTTTTTCCCTAGCCACTCCCCACTCTAACCTTCACCCAAGAGTATGTGCATGCGTGGGCTCTTCTATGAGTGACCATGTAAATACCAATGAAGCACACAGTATGTAAATTAGGGGCGGGGGGGGGGGGGGGCTGCTGACTCATAGTGGGCGGTGCCATCAGCCCAGAGACTGCACTGAGCAGTTATCACCTGGCTAACACATGAAAGGGAAAAGGCATGCAGTGGTGGAAGGAGATTTCAACATCCTGGAAGGAGTGGAATGCTCCTGGTGGGAGGGCACGAAAGAGGGGAAAGGTAAAGATCAGCCATGAAACTCGGGGAGAATGCTAGGGTTCTGAAATTCAGAACTGTAAGAGAACAGGTGTGGGTGGTATCACGGATCAGATTCCCTGGAAAACAGATTCTGAGATAGAGATTTGCAAGCATGTAATTTGTTGATGTTGGGGGCTGAGTTTTGTCCCCCAAAAAGATAAGTTGAAGACTTAATCCCCACACTTAAGCATGTGACCTCATTTGGAAATAGGATCTTCACAGATGTAACTGGTTAAGATGAGATCATACTGGATTAGGGTGGGTCCTGAACCTAAGGTGGCTGGTGTCCTCAGAAGAAGAGGGCAATTTGGGCGCAGACAGGGGGAGCGCCATGTGACCATGACAGCAGAGATGAGGATGACGCATCCACAGGGAATGCCAAGGATTGCTGGCAACGCCAGCAGCTAAGAAAAGGGCTTGGAAAAGATTCTCCCCTAGAGCCCTGAGGAGGGAGCAGGGGCCCTCCAGAACTGTGAGGGAAAAAATTTCTCTTGTTGTAAGCCACCCCATTTGCCATACTTTTTATGGCGGCTATAGGAAACACATAGAGCTGGGGAGTGTCCTGAGGAGCTGCACAGGGGAGGGGATGAGGGAGGCAGGACCGCCTAGGGAGGGCTTGGACTTCCATGCCAGTGGAGAAGTGGCCTCAGCCCCCAGGAACTCTAGTGTTGGGAAGACCCTGTAGAAATGCCCCCAGTGGAGGCAAAGGGCCTTTGTGTCCCCAACGTACAATTATCACTGAATCAAGGCTGACGCCAGGAAGGATTGGAACCTTGGCTGAGACAGCTTCCTTCTGCTGAGGGCAGGTTCTAGAGATGGACTCAGCTGGGAGCCATCAGCCTCCAACACTACCGGCAGCTGAGCCAGAAAGGAGAGCTGGGTGGAACCCCACAACACCCATTACTGGTGGCCGTTTTGTCTGAGCTTGGGAAGGGCACAGGGACCCAGAGACAGGGGTCAGTTTCTTTAAGGACCAGGTGACTCTGGAGAGAGCACCAGAAGCAGGGGAAGGGCAGAGTGAACAGAAAAGAAAGATGAGGCTCTGAGAGCTTGAAGAGACGTCAGGGACCTATGGTCCGACCCTACAACCCCACGTTGGACTCTCCCCACAAGCCACCTTTCTGTAAAGGATCCTTTCTCTAGAAAATGGCGAAGTTCTTCTGTATTGTCAGCTACGATCAGCCTTCTTGTGACTCGGTTTTTCCAAACCTTCCTTTTTTACTCTGTTGCTTACTTATTCTCAACAGACAAAAGATTTGCTGAGTTATTTTCTGCCGTTTGCTCTGTAACTTATTTCGTACTACACACATTCTCTCCCAGCTCCTTTCCCAAACCACTGCTGAGACTCCGTGCTTGGGAGCACCAGGGAAGGCATCTCCCACCCTCCACCAGGCAGCTCTTCAAATATTTGAGGACACTTTCCACATCCTCCCTAAATCTTCTTTTCTCCAGGCCAAATATCCCCAGGACTGGATAAATTCTAAGTTCCTGTCCTGCTAATACAATTCAATTACACTCAGTTTACTTGATCTTCTTTACATGAGAGTGTTTCAAACATTTATTCAATCACCATATATTTATGAAGCATATATTTTGGTATATACATATATAGGTTCTGGGGATACACAATAAATAAGGAAATAAGGAAAGTCCTGCTGCCTGAATTTATCCTCTACAGGAGAAAAAGAGAAGGAAAAACCTCTCTGATACGACCAATGCAAAGAACGGCCCTTGAGTGAAGAGCAAAAGACAAAGGACAATAAGTTTGTGGAGAAATGGCAAGACAAAGGAAAAGGGGTTTGGGCTTTTGAGGCAGTAAATTGTAGGAAGATAAATATATGGGGGAAACTAATGATAGATAAGAATTATTTTAGAAGGTTTTGTAATATTGTGATTTATAATAAGAAATATATATTTGGTCTTCATCCCGTTTTGGGCACAGAGTCTCTAAAACCCTTGGAATTTTCTAAGTGAAGAGAGCTATAAAGGTGTCTTTTGTTGTGTTAATAAGGTGACTTTTAAAGATTTATTGATTTATTTCACAGAGAGAGAGGGAGAGACAGAGTGAGAGAGTGAGAGAGGGGGAGAAATTGAGAGAGACGGAGAGTGGAAGGAGGGAGAGAGAGAGAGAATCTCAAGCAGACTCCCTGCTGAACACAGAGCCCAACGCAGGGCTCCATCTCATGACCTGAGCCGAAATCACAAGTCAGACTCTTAACCCACTGAGCCACCCAGACGCCCCAATAAGGTGAGTTTTAGAGGGCATCTAAGGATGGGGACTGGTTGCGAGGGGAGCAAACCATGTGATGTGAGGGTTGGAACTTTCAGTTCCACCCCTTGCCTCCTGGGAGAGGAGAGTGTTTAGAGAATAACCAATCTCTAGAGATTGGTCAGTCACCAGTGGGCAATGATTTAATCAACCATGCCTACGTAATGAGGCCTCCATAAAAATGAAGTGGATAGGAACAGGAAGAGTTTGAGTTCAGAACAGGTGGAGGGGGAGAGGCAGAAGGCAAGAACTGGAATTATGGAAGACAAGGCTTAGCGAGTATGATGCTGGAAGCATACAAGGTGGAGCAGTTCTGAGTACTAGCAGGGTCCAGAATGTGGCTGAGATACTGAAGAAGATGAAGCTCCTGGGAAGCGGGTAAGCCCAGGATCAGAGGGCTGCAGCTGTTGTGTGGATTGTCCAGTTGGACACAGAAGCTGGTCAAGCTACTGAGGCTGCCCTTCCTGACAGGGCTGCTTCACGTCGCTCACTATGCACAGCGTGACAGCCATTCCTCCCAGCTTTTGTCATCAGAACAATCTGTGAACGTTCCTTTTACATTACTCTTTAAGTTGCTGATAGAAATACTAAGTAGGCCTGAGCCAAATATTTACCTTGAACATGCTTGGGGGGCTCTAAATATGCTTTTATAGTTATGAAGGATTTTGTTTTATATAGGTAGGAAGAAATGTCAAGATAATGTCCTATGTATTCAGCTAACTAACCCCTTATTTCCAGTTACTTTGCCATGATGGCTTGATCATAAGGCCTGGCAGAGGGAGGAGGGTGAAGTATTTATCTTGTGGTTTATTTCCTGGATTTTATCATGCATAGGAAAGCCACATCTCCTATCTATTGAGTACAGGTTCTATAAATAATAATAGACTATACATCTTTCAATAAGCTATATACAAAATCCAAAAAGGCTCTTGGACTTTCTAGCAGTGATGTTTTTTCTGTTGCACCTCGACCTGATAAACTGAAATTTCATATTCAAGTCTAGGATGCTAAGGGGGATGGGAGGGGTAAGGGAGGTAGAATGAAAGGGTGCTGCTGGGAGCCAACACACTGGGAATGCAGGGAGCCTAGAAGAATGAAAGCAAATTGAGTCAGACGAACCAGATTCTTGCCTAGGCCCTGCTCTTCTTAGCTTCTGGGAAGTGGGCAGGTCACTGATCTGATTTCCTCTCTACTAAGTGGGGAACACACTAGTTTATTAGGCTTGGTTGAGTAGGTTAGCATGGGAATATAGATGAAATGATGGATGGGAAAGTGCTTTGTAAACTCTTAGCCATTAGAGATATGCATCGTGTTTATTAGAGAAGACCTGCTGGGCCTGCGTTTCAAACATTCAGCAAGTCTTTGTTGCTATTAACTCTTTGCCCATCTCTATGCATCATCCTTCCCATCAGCAAGATCTCTGGAAAACTGGGGCTATCTGAAGAGCTGCTTGATTCTGGCTGCAGAGAAAAACTTCTTGCCAATCTAACCTAAACCCAGGCCTATAGGCCCATCTCAGCACCAGGTAGCAGTGAAAACAATCTGAATGTACAACACCTTAATGAGTAATCTTAAATGTCCTGAAGGCTGGGGTGGGTGGCGGGGGGGCAGGGGGGGTGGCAGCTTGGGAGGAGAAATGATACTTGGTCAACACACGGGAAAACACCCTCAATCCTCTCAGACAACCGTCTCCCCAAGGCCTCTCATAAAAGCAGCTGCTCCCCCAGACCTCCCTAGGCTCCTCCTCTACCTCTGCTTCCCCCTCTTACTTGCATTTTTCATTCATGTGTGGATAATAATGTGATGCTTCGCTCCTCCAGTAACCCAAGCAGCTCATCACAGCCCAGCAACTCAGCTTTGAACATTCAGTAGAGGAAATGTGAATACTTAATTTTTTTTCCAATGACATTTAATTTTCCAGGTCACGGCTGCCTCTGCCCTGAAACTATGTATGTGTGGACTCAGAGGAGTGGCAGGAGGAGAGATAAAGATCTTCAAGACTTCACCTCCCACTCTCCTTCAGCTCCTGGGGAGAGTGCTAACCCAGGAGAACAGCTTACCCGGAAGCTGGAGTCCCTGGGTGGGCTGCTGGCGCCACGCTATGGCCCACTTCCTCCTTCTCTCCCCAGAATAACCACTGCTCAACAAATTTGAGTCCCCAGGCAGATAAGTGGCTGATAAATTGTTCAGTAAAAGGTAGCTGTTCAGATTACGAATAACATGCCACATGCTGTGGGGTATTCAAGGGAAATATGACCCACTCATCTTGGAAAAGTTTAAAATCTATTGGTCCAGTTGAATAGTGTACTCAAAGAACCTTAGATTTGGACAAGACCTTGGGAAAACAAAGGTCTGTCCCCTGCCTTTCAGCAGGAAAAATATCTTTAATTTGCTTATAAAGCCCTTGAGCTTCAGCCAGGTGGAGTATTTTTCTCAAGGTCATACATTTGCCTGGGATAAGAAGCAGGTGTCCCCCTAGCCTTCTGGTGCTCTGTAAGAGAACGTAAGACAATGTTCATGTGCTCTCTGTTCAGAAAGTAGCATTTGCCTTCTAAAATTGTCAAGTACAAAGTTGTGAAATTGATCACCCTATTGTTTTGACTCCCCTTAAGATATTTGGGTCATCTTAAACTGAGGCCAATTAAACACCAAGACCTGTGTTCCCGAACCAGTGAGGAGCAAGGACAGAGGACAAAGTGGACACCATCTATCCTAAGGAGGATAGATATACGGTTAAGAGGGAAGGAACAAATTTTAATATGCAATGTAACAATAATGTGACAACAAAAGAAAGATTTTGAATGCATTAACAACACTTTGTTTTTAAAAAAATGTGGCACGGTGGAAAAAGGAAGAAGCAGGAAATGGCCTCAAGGAATGTAAGTACAAAGGCATACTGATTAAGAAATGTGGGTAGTTGCATGAAATAAATATAAAAGAAGAACCAGATCAGGTATGACTCTGCTGCTATAAGAAATTACAGAACATGAAGATCCCTCCTTTTGGTCTCTCTGGCTCTCAGGCAGGTACTTTCTCTCATCACTCACACACACACACACACACACACACACACACACACACACACGGTAAGTATTATGCATGCAGCACAAACTCCCACATCAAAGCTCATAATCATCCTAGTTCAAGGTTGCTACAAGTCCAGAACTTAAGACAGTTTATTTCAAGAGCTTTTCAAATGTTACCAGCTACAAAAGTCTCTGGACTTTTCTATTTCTTGCCTTTAAATTCAGTTGAAAAGTCCTTTTCTTTTCCCCTTACCTTCCTGAGATAGAGGTCTATGATAGCATTAGGAGTTCTAAGATGGTGCATAGTAGTGTTCTTGCTGTTCAATTGACCAGGAACTTAAATCTACCAGCTGGACTCCTGGTGATGAAAACCCCACCTCAGAGGTCTGTCCTTGTGGTGGCTCAGAAAAACTCAGATCAGGGCGCCTGGGTGGCTCAGTCATTAAGCATCTGCCTTCGGCTCAGGTCATGGTCCCAGGGTCCTGGGATCGGGTCCCACATCGGGCTCCCTGCTCCACGGGAAGCCTGCTTCTCCCTCTCCCACTCCCCCTGCTTCTGTTCCTGCTCTCGCTATCTCTCTCTCTGTCAAATAAATAAAATCTTAAAAAAAAAAAAAAAAGAAAGAAAAACTCAGATCAGTGTTGGCCATACTTTCCTTGACCCCCTTAGTGGCGTCCTTCTTCCCACACGCTTTTCTGATCCATCTTGTTTCCTTTTAAATGGTAGCCTTTACCTTTTTAAGATTTTATTTATTTATTTGAGGGGGGAAGGGAGCACATTTGCGTGCGGAGGCGCACGTGTGAGCAGGGGGAGGGGCAGCAGGAGAGGGAGAAGAACAAGCAGACATTGTGCTGAGCCCTCATTGGGCTCCCACGACCCTGAGATCATAACCTGAGCCAAAATCAAGAGTCAGACACCCAACTGACTGAGCCATCCAGGCGCCCCTAGACTTTATTTTTTTAAACAGTTTTATGGGGGCACCTGGGTGGCTCAGTTGGTTAAGCGTCTGCCTTCGGCTCAGGTCATGATCTCAGGGTCCTGGGATTGAGCCCCACATCGGGCTCCCTGCTCAGTGGGGAACCTGCTTCTCCCTCTCCCTCTGCCTGCCACTACCCTGCTTGTGCTCGCTCTCTCACGCACGTGCGCTCTCTCTCTGTCAAATGAATAAATAAAATCTTAAAAAAATAAACAGTTTTGGGCGCCTGGGTGGCTCAGTTGGTTAAGCGATTGCCTTCGGCTCAGGTCATGATCCTGGAGTCCCGGGATCGAGTCCCGCATCGGGCTCCCTGCTCGGCAGGGAGTCTGCTTCTCCCTCTGACCCTCCTCCCTCTCGTGCTCTCTGTCTTTCATTCTCTCTCTCAAATAAATAAAATAAAATCTTAAAAAAATAAAAATAAAAATAATAAAATAAAATAAACAGTTTTATGTTTGCAGAAAAATTGAGGGAAAAGTATAGAGTTCCCATATATCCCCTCCCCCTGCCCCCCTATTTGTAACATCTTGCATCAGTGTGGTACTTCAGTTACAGCTGATGACAAATATTGATACATTATCATCATCAAAAGTCCATAGTTTACACTAGGGTTCACTCTTTGTGTTGTATATTCTGTGGGTTTTGACTAATGCATAATGACATGTATCCAACAGTACAATACCATACAGAGTAGATTCGGTGTCCTGAAAATCCTGTGTTCTACCTGTTCACAGTTCTTCCCCAAACTCTGGCAACCCCTGATCTTTTAGTATCTCCATAACTTTGCCTTTTCCAGAATGTGACATAGTTGGAATCATACAGTATATAGACTTTTCAGATTGGCATCTTTCACCTAGCAATGTACATTTAAGATTCCTCCCTGTCTTTTCATGGTCTGATAGCTCATTTCTTTTTAGTGCTGAGTAATATTCTATTATCTAGATGTCCCTCAGCTTATTTATACATTCACCTACAGAAGGATATCTTGGTTGCTTCCAAGTTTCAACAACTACGAATAAAGCTGCTATAAATATCTATGTGCAGGGTCTGTTTGTTTTTTGGTTTTTGTGGATATACTTTTCATACTGAGAAGTGTGATTGCTGGATCATGTGGTAAGAGTATGTTTAGTTTTGTAAGAAACTGCCAAGCCGTCTTCCAAAGTGGCTGTACCGTTTTGTATTCCCACTAGTAATGAATGAAAGTTCCTATTGCTTCACAGCCTTGTCAGCATTTGGTATTATCAGTGTTTGGGATTTTAACCATTCTAATAGCTGTGCAGTGGTATCTTGTTGTTACTTTAGTTTGCAATGATACATGATGTTGAGCATCTTTTCATATGCTCATTTGCCATCTATTCATCTTCTTTGGTGAGGTGTCTGTTTAGATCTTTTGCTCATTTTTTTAATTGAGTTATTTCCTTATTGCTGAGTTTTAAGACTTCTTTATATTTTTTGAGTACCAGCCCTTTATCAAATGTGTCTTTTGCAAATATTTTCTCCTAGCCTGTGGCTTATTTTCTCCTAGCCTGTGGCTTGTCTTCTCAATCTCTAAAAAAAAAAAGTCCATCTACTTTTCTAAATCAACGTGTTTTCTATATTTCCCTTCCCTGTGGAAGAGTCTTCTCTGTTCGTCTGAAAACTGAAGAAAAAGAAAGCTCTGTATCAAAATCCTCGAGGCCCTAGGAAGGAAGTCAAACAAACCCAAGAATCCCCAAACAACCTGACAATTCAAGTCCTAAAGAGAATCGACTACCGGCCGCGACAGCACTGGGCCAGGAAATAAAAGCTGCCCCAGCGTCTGCAGAGCATTGAATAAAGCATCATGAAAGAATCTGGAGACTGGAAAGAGATTCAAATTCTCAGAGAGCTCCAAGCTCAGTGATGTGTGGGGTATTTCCCAGTCACCATTTCTTCCTCTCACGGGCTAAGGGAACGCTGTGCCTGATGATCAGAGAGACCAGCTGTTTCTCATCAGCCCGTGAACACCGCACACAAAAAGAATTAATACATCCAGTCTAAGAGAGTTGAAGAGGAATACAGTTACATTTTACCAATAAGTCATCATTTTCCATATTGGCTCTGCTCTAGACTCTATCAGACAAGTTGACAGTGTTATCTAACACAGCCCAGACCACCACAAGAGGCCGTGTGGGCAGGATCCCGTGCACTCACGCACGCACAGAAGCACAGAAGGTTCAGAAAGACCAACAAAATAACGTAAGTACTAGAGGCCCAAGAAGTGGTGATTCCAAACGAGAGATCTGAAATACCTCCTCTCCTTCACAGGCTCACATTTGCCCTGATTACTTGTGGAAACAGGATGAACTTGTCAAGTAGGTTTTACCCATTTGTTGGCTTTTCACTGTTGCCAAATATAAGTCCCAGGAATTGTGTTTGATCACTCGCTCTCCTTTTTTTTTTTTTAAGATTTATTTATTTATTAGAGAGAGAAAGAGCATGCGTGCAGGGGTAGGGGCAAACAGAAAGGGAGAGACAGAATCTCAAGCAGACTCCCCACTGAGTGGGGACCCCAATGTGGGACTCCATCCCAGGACCCTGAGATCATGACCTGAGCTGAAATCAAGAAAGGGACACTTAACAAACTGAGTCACCCAGGCGCCCTGATCACTCACTCTCTTGACTGTGTGAGCCTCTTTCTATCAGGCATAGTGGAATAAAAGAAAATAACCCCTTTTAGTCTTTATAGGAGGCACCTATAAAATTTGCTGTAATGGATCCCATCTGATTGGGCCATGGATCTGGCAAGACCTAGAAGGTTCATCTAAAAGGTGAACCCACATAATTCAAAATAAAATTAAAATTATAAAGCAGATGTTGGAGAGTTAAAAATATTTTATTTCTAATGATGACTGCATCATCACTTTTATATTTGTATATCAAATCTTTTACCCTTTCCAAAATCTCTCTCTCTCCCTCTCTCTCTCTCTCTCTCTCTGCCTCAGCTGGGTGGACTTTAATGATCCCAGATGAAAGGGCCCAGCTACGCCCTGGGTCCCATTGGACAGCTACCCAAAACCCAAGAATGGGCCAGCCCAGTCCTGGGGTCATCAAAGAGTGCTGAAGAAGACCACATACTGACAGACATCATTAATTCTTAGCCTTTTTATATAGTCTTCCCTACCTTTTCTATCATATACTAGATAAAGATATTATAGTAACATGATGTTTAGCATGGTGGTGGCTGAAAAAGGAAGAGTAGCTCAAACCCCTGTAGATTTTTCTTTGCCTATTACCAAATACTTCTTCCAGGTAGCTGACAAATCTGTAAAAACAAAACCTTTGTATCTATTAATAATAAATACTCCTGAATTGTCACATGTTCTGGCTTCTTGGCCATTTAAAATTTGAAATTTTTAAAAGATATATTTTTAGACATCTTTAGGATTGGGGAATACTAACTTTCTACTGGACCTTAGAAATTATCATTTCTTTTTTCAGGCAATTTAACCTTTAAATTGCTTTTCATATTACTTTGATTTTGTTTCCCCCCCACCCCCACCCTCCTTCTCTTATCCTGTTCACAGTTCTCCTCGAGTGGACTGACAGTTTCCTGTCATGGGAGCCATGAGCCACCTGTCACTCCAGGCCTCTCAGCCAGCCCAGGTGGGAAGCAGAGTGTGGCCTTCTCTTATATCGGAGAATCCTAAACTGCCATCCATGTTAGCACAGGAGTGCGTGACTCAAAGAAAAGTAGGTATTTCCTTCCTTGGAGGTCCTTCAGAAATAATCCTCTTTCAGGACAAACAGGTTGGTTCAAGTACTGCCCTGACTAAATTCTGAGCAAAACAGGTCAGGAGACTTCTGTCTGAGGGATCTGTTACTGGGGATGAGCGGGGGACTCATCTGATTGGAGTCAGAATGCAAGGTAACTCTCCCATCACAAAGAGCCAACCCTAGGTCTTTCCCCTCAAGGAAAAACCTTTAGGTTTGTTGTTGCCAAGGTTATAGAACACGGTAAACCCTTGAACAATGTGGGGGTAGGGGCGCCAACCCCCATGCAGTCAAAAATCCACACATACAACTTTTGACTCCCCCCAAACTTAACTACTAATAGTCTACTGTCGACCAGAAGCCTTACTAAGAATATACACAGCACATTTTGTTAGAAATGTTATTAAAAGAAAATGTTATTAAGAAATTCCTAGAAAAAAAAGAAAGCACATTTACAGTACTGTATTTAATGAAAACAATCCATGTATAAAGTGGACCCATGCAATTCAAACCCACCTTGTTTAAGGGTCAACTGTATATTTAGGACTACCACTAGCATTGTTGAAGAAAAAGGCAATTCTACCCACAGCTGTGGAGTAAAATAATCAGACTCAGCATAAGATGAAGGACCTCATTCTCATTTGTATCAATTTGCTTACTAAAATTCTGATGGTCGTGACAAAGTAATTATACAGGGGAGGAGCTATTCATTACAGCTGACATTCCAATAAAGCAGCATCAGGGGGCTTATCTACCAACGTTATTGGGTAAAGAATTACAAGTTGAAGCAAAATTGTAAATAGGTGTCCCACTGCTCTTACAGAGGTTTGAATATACTAAAATTAATGTTGAGAGCCTAGCAGTGCAATTAATTTTGATATAATGCCCAACGTAGAGAGTGGGCTGACTAGCTAAACCCTAAACAGCGAAGACAGTTGGCTCAAGAACTTAGAGCCTGAAGCACCTGAGGATTGTGCCTAAAATTTATGTGCTAGCTCATCTCCCCCAAATCTTCTGGAATGTAACTGAATGAGGCAAAAGTGTCCACCACACCGCTACTTAGAGGATAAAAGGGCTCTTTTTCATGCTGAGAAATTTAAGGGATTGCTAAACAAATGCAGATTCCACCCTAATTGCCAAAGCTAGCGAGCCACGCAGCAAAGGTGAGACTTTGGGCGTTCATTCAAGGGAAGGTTTAAATGTTTCTAGAGCAGGGATAATGTTTCAAAACAACCCCCAGTCCCCTCCTCAACCCTGCCACCACGTGATCAAAATGTAATTTTGTGGAAAGCATTTCGTAATGTATACAAAGGCCAAATCACTATGTTGTACACCTGAAATGAATATAATATTGTATGTCACCTATACCTCAATTTTTAAATGTAATTTTGTATAAAATGTAGTTTATGTATAAAATGTTGACTCAGTACACATTTGTGTTTTCACAAGGATTCAGTAAGTGTTCACGTAGAGTTCTAAAATTCATTTCAATGACCTTTTTTGCTGTCCCCTTGCACCTCATCAAAGCAACTGAAACCCTGTATTTAATTTTTAAAAAGCATTCTAAAATGTCCAAGTTTTAAACCCCAGAGGAGGAGAACAAGGCAAAGCTAAGCCCTTCACAAACAGTAACAGAAATGATCTCATTAAGTACCACTGTCCAAACATGTCTGCTCTTCAAACAGACCAGGTAGTGAAAGATCCAGTGGAGGTGCTGGTTTCCATTTTATCTCCACCTACAGGCTTTTCTCTTAAGCTGAAACTGAAGCTTATGTTCTTAACGCGTTCACTTGTTTTAGAGGGAAAGAAAAACATTCCAAAGAAATTACCTAAAAAACTAAAAATTATGGTTTAAATAATGCTATCACTATTGGTCAGAGCCTAAAATACAAAATCAGCAACACAAAAAGACCCTTTAAGCATTCACACTAAATTTCCCCCTAATTTTGGCTTCCCCTGCTGCACCCCTCCCTCATCTTTTAGGGCAACACAAGCAATCTCTGTTCACAGCAGTTGTTTTAGAGAAAAACAAACCCCTACACCAATTAACCCATTAGGAGCTAGTTAGTAATTTGTGTGACCCATTCAATTCAACACATTTTTTTTGTGCATCTGTTAGGTGCTTGGGATATATCAGTGAGGAAAACAATCATTAAGAATCTCTAGGGACGCTTGGGTGGCTCAGTCAGTTAAGCGTCTCCCTTCGGCTCCGGTCATGATCCCGGGGTCCTGGGATGGAGCCCCGTGTCGGGCTCCCTGCTCCTCGGGAAGCCTGCTTCTCCCTCTCCCACTCCCCCTGCTTGTGTTCCCTCTCTCACTGTCAAATAAATAAATAAAATATTAAAAAAAAAAAATCTCTGGACTTGGGGTGCTTACATTCAAATAGGAGAAGAAAAACAATAAACATAAAAAGTGAACTATTCAGTATGTTTGAAGATATCAAAGAGAATGGACAGGGTAGGCATCACTGAGAAGCCGAGAGCAGACGTCTTGGGGAAAAGCTTTCTGGGCTGAGGGAAGAGCCCAAGCGGATGCTAGGAGGCTGGAGCACAGCCATAGTATCTGAGGAACAGAGAACATCCAGTGTCGCTGTTGTGTGGTGAGAAGGACGGTGGTAAGAGAGAAGCTCAGAGGGGTTGAGCAAGATTATGGAAGAGCAGAATGCACCACCCCAAAATATGCCTCTTGGGCATAAGGATTATTTTGAGTTAATTATTTTAAGAAACAGCAGACACAGGAGAAGCTCTGAAAACAGAGTAAAACCACCCTGTTGTAGGAGACATTCACATTTATAAAGATCTCCATTTGTAAGCATGTCGCCCTCTCTGTGCCAGAAAATCCACCAGAGACTTACCAATGGAGAAGTCATCACTTAATGCTGAGCAACAAACCTTACCCTTGTGTATGACCGAGCTTGTCCTGGTAACCTCCCCAGAACTGGCCTCCCCACACTCTTTTTTGGTCAGCTAAAGATGGTATTTCAACTGTAGTTCTACTCAGTTCCTCATTTTTTCCCTTGGTGTGTACCCCCCATCCAAAGTTCTGTTTTTCTCTTGTTAATCTTGTGTTATAGGGCCTCAGCCAAGAACTAAGGAGGATAGAAGGGGAATTCGCTTTCCTTTCCTACATAAGGACCCCAATTTCCCCCTTCTTTTTTTTAAGATGTTATTTTTAAGTAATCTCCACACACAATGTGGGGTTCAAACTTACAACCCTGAAGTCAAGAGTCCCACGCTCCACTCACTGAGCCAGCCAGGCACTCCCACGCCCACCCCCACCCCCCGTCCCAATTTCCCTTTCTTAAAGACTTCTTGTGGAGATGGGTTTTATCTTGGAAAAATGACACATCTCTCAGCAGAGCCCTGATCCCCAGAGTGCTTGTCCCATGTCTTTGAACATCAGAAGATGAGACATGGTTTAATTTTTCTAACTTGCATAAATCACCCTACAAATTTCCATTTATTGCCACCTCCTATCTTAACATTTAACTTGGAAATGCTTTCCAGTGATAGTTCTTCCTTTTTATTTGCATAAAAGATCATTTTGGAACTTCCTGCCCTCAGATGAACATTGTAAATTTTACCTTTCTGTTGGCTACCAAACTGCTGACTCTTAAAAATGACATTTGCTTTTGATTCAGGCATAAAATTTTCTTCTCCAGCCACACTTTCATCCCAGTTATGAACTTTACCAACTAAGACATTTCCTCTTTCCAAGCCCCAGTCCCTCATCCATCCACCTTCCACTGCCACTCTCTTACTCCTCAGGCCCCTTTTCTGTCCCCTCAAAAAAGGGCAATAATCTCCCTGTTATTCAGAGGCAGGTATCCATCTGTGGCTGATTTATACCCTTTACTTACTAACTTCTTTTCCTGTTTAAGTCATTTCAAGCTCATTACCAGAGAAAAGCTGGAGATAATATTTTATAAAACACATTCACCTAAATGTGATAGAGACAGTGCCATTATTTCACCAAATTTTATTTTTCTTACTGGGCATTACATTTTTCACCTTACCTTGCAGTTTTATTGGGACCATATGACTCAGTACTGGCTAGTGGGGGATGGGTAAAACTGACATAAGTCACTACCAGGTCTGAACATTAAAATATATCATGCAGTTCTACATCCTCTCTTCCCTTTTTTCAACACTCTTGGAGGCTACATCACAAAATGATAGAAATATGGATCCCAGAGTCTCCAGAAAGAGAACCCCTGATGATCGACATCTGAATCTACTTTGATTGTGCTAAGCCACAAAGCCATAGAGTTTCAAGACCTGTTTCTATAACATAATCCAGGATATTCCATTACCATATTCCACCTTTTTGAGATTTTATTTATTTATTTGAAAGGCAGGGGACCATGAGCAGGGAGAGAGACAGAGGGAGAAGGAGAAGCAGACTCCCCACTAAGCAGGGAGCCTGATGCTGGACTCAATCCCAGGACCCTGTGATCAGGACCTGAGCCAAAGGCAGATGCTTAACTGACTAAGCCGCCCAGGTGCCCCCATATTCCACCTTATTTCCTTCTTGTTCTACTCCGCCATCTCCCAAAACAACATTTCACAGATGGAGAAACCAGGGGTCACTGAAGCCTGTGGTCTGGTTAAGCAAGCATAACTGGTAAATGAGGCAGCCAGCTCTCTGTCTTCTCCCTACCAGAAATACCCTGTTCCTCCAGCTCTCAGTATACACTTTCTGTTCTTTGTCATGTAGGAAGTGGAAAAAACCTTTTTCCCTCCACCCTCCTTGGATCCCTGACTGGAGTGCTTTAAGTTAGACTGACAAAAGACAAATAAGCGAGAGGAAAAGAAAACAGGAGTTTTTTAATATGTGCGTTGTGCATATACATGGGAGCACTTAGAGGGGAGTAACTCAAAGAGGTAGTTAGAACTTGAGCTTATAGACCATCTTCGCAAAAGAACAAAGAATTTTTAGAGAAGGGGCAAGACAAAGGAAAAGGACTTTAAGTT